CAGTGAAGTTATTCCTGCATATGCCTCATGTAAATATATCATTCGGAATTCCCAATATAATAAGGAGAAATGGGGATCGGAATTTATATCTGACAAGAGTGGTAATTCAAATTAGAAATCTGTTCACTTGATATTCCCTCTGTTGACATAGGATAGATTCGTTGATCATGTTCCTCAATGAAATGAGCCCGACCACATTATGCATTCACTCAACCATGTGCACCATAATTCTGCTCATGCGAAAAGTTTTCAAGATTTTCTATAGTTTCCTCGAAGCAAATATTAAATCATTTCAAGTGGCTTACTTCACAGTTGACGACTAGAGTAGATCAAGGAACCCCATGCAAAAGTTATCGCACAGCAACTAACATTTTATCGACATCTTCAAAATCCAACAGAAAACTATTGAAATAACCAACAGATGAAATTTAAATTCGTCAAAATACATAAGCTTAAAATGAGAACCCAGACCACTGGGTGTATGGTTTCATTGTGATCTATGTAAAACCAAGATAAAAGAATAAAATTTTCTAATTAAAATTATCCTCTGTACGCAGCACTCTTTAGACTAAAAGCATTACACTCGTTTTTTCCAATATTTCATAGTACATCGTTACCATCAAAAAGTTACAAAGTAAGCTTCTGACTTTCATCAAAATTCCACCTCTGAAGATAGGAATAATCTTCGACAGTGGCTTTGAATATCTTCAAAGTAGAAAATCCATCTTTGTTGTTTGTTGCCAGGTTTGCTTCAGTTATAGTCCAGTCTTTTCTTCATCTTCAGTAGTGTCCAGTTCAAAAGTTTGCCATCACTAATTATATGGAAGTGAATTGGAGAAATTAAAAATAAACGATGGAGATCCAGAAATCTTGTTTGATTTAGTGCTACTGAAACGGAATGAAAGCAAAAAAGATTAATCTGCTATGCCATTTTTAATCACTTTCAGCTCACTCAGTATCTTGCATCTCCTTCATTGCTCTAAAGTTTCAAATGATCAATATATAATTCGTTACACTAGGGAGCCTTCAATATAATTCGGTATATCATCATGGTTATTGAAACCTTAGTCAGATATTCCAGTTTCCTCTTTCACATTTTTACAGTTTTCGAGCATTATTTTTTTGTTCCACCCTCCAATAAAGGTCATTGAAAGTCTTCAATTAGAACTATTTTTCAAAGTACATATGTTTTTGGGGCATGCTGCAATATTTTCAAACTCTAGATCGAAGTCTTCGTTCTTGATTATATCGGTTACTTTTCTAGAATACGTATACGAATTCCGGTCATTTTATCATATTATCCACCAAAAGAAGTAGTGAAACTCATTCAGATTACTTCGAATTATCAATGAATTGAGATAAAAAAACCACAAGACCATCCTGAGATATCCACGAACAGGGCCGTATTGGATTATTGGTGAGAAATAAAGAAATTCGCCAATAAAACTTATTCATCCATCAAAAATTCCTGCAGCATCTGTTTATCGGAAAATGATACTACTGTTTCTCTGCCACTTATAATTTTTTTAAATGGTCGTGGTCGAATGGTTGGTGAAATCTCAATTTCGAATTGGAGTGACCGTAACCAGGTTCAATTCAATGCCAAAAAACCCAAGCATCGGTTTTCTCCAAAAAGATCAATGTCTCAGAACCGGATATAATTATGTCAGGACATAAAATTCCTCTTTATGCTTCGATAAGTTTGTTGGGGTGGGGGATAAAATGGGCACCAATATGTTTTGGCACGATCATTTCGCTGGAATTGCAAAAGCTGCTTCTCAAAAGCTTGGAACACTGTTCCGAATCATAAAACAAGACACACCTCAACAACTTTTGATGCTTTATTGAGCTCAGATTGGAGTATTGTTCTCATGTATGGAGCTCAACCTCCTAACATACCCTGACGCTGCTGTATTCTATCCAGAAAAGAGCCATTCGCCTGATTGGGAACGCGAACATCACTTGCAACCTTGATAGTCTAGAATATCAAAGTAAGGTTGGAGATTTGTCTCTCTTCTACAGATACTTTCATGGGAAGTGTTCAATTGACTTGGCACATTCGATTCCACCAAGAGTGGTACATATCAGATATACGCGACGGACTGTGGCTGTTCATCGTTTTGAGGTACAACTCAGTGTAACTCAAACTTCACTGTTTAAGAATACTTCCATTTGGAGAGCGGCGTTCATGTGGAATAAACTTCCTGAGAACGTTTTTCCAAATGAATTTAATCTCCAGCGATTCAAATCCAATGTGAATCGCTATTTTCGCGCAGACACCGCTCTGAGAGCGCTTCAAGGATTTTCCTGTAGTGCTTGTGTTTTCTCCTTGAAAAAAACGCGCGTCGAGACGAGTTCTGGTGTTTTGCGAAAAGTGCTCGTTTTCGATTCATTCCATAAATTCTACCTTGATTTTGCAGTCTGGATTTGAAATGAAATTTTTTTTCAACAAAAAATGTCACTCATCTAGAATAAAACAATTATACTCTTCACCCATACCAATTATAGATCCTCCCGGTATGAAAATTCACATTACAAAGTAATTGAAATATTGCCAAAAATCGTAACCATTTCATATTTTCATTTGAGTGGGCGAAATATATAAAACAGTCTATTTGAGAGACTCATTAGCAGTAAAAGCATACTTCGAATTTTCAATGCCTGTTTCAGATACAAACAGTTTGAGGAGGTCGGATAAAATCCACGTAGAAAAAGTTAGTAAGAAAAATTAAATATTTGGGTGTAATTGTAGATGATAGAATGTTTTTTAAGGAACATGCTTCATATATTATTAAAACAATAGCATTCAAAATTAATTACTTAAGTAGGCAATCTAAGCACTTAAACCAATGGTCGCTTTTACTTTTGTATAATAGCTTGATTTTACCTCATTTTACTTATTGTGGAACCATCTTTTACTTACTAAACCAAAATGAAATTGGAAGACTTCAGAAACTTCAAAATAGAGGAATGAGAGTAATATTATCTTGTGATAGAAGAACACATATAACATTAATGTTGAATACATTAACATGGTTATCAGTAAAAAATTACTTTCGTTATTTAGCATTAATATTTATTTTTAAAATTAAAACTGGTGATGTTCCTGTATATCTAAGTGACAAATTAAAGTATAACTTTGAATATCATGAATACAATATAAGAAGTCGCAATAACTTTCATATACGTCAGACTAGTAATGTCAATTCAAATAATACAGTTTTCATTAAAGGAGTTCAAGCATTCAACGAACTACCGGAGGATATTAAGAATGCTACCTCTCTAAATATATTTAAAAGAAAATTAAAAGTGCACCTTTTAGACCCACAAAGTGTTTAGTATAGGAACCTGCTAATACAGTTTTTTTTTCTGCTTTTTATTTTATTTATTGTGCTGTTTTTATTTATATGTTTCAATGTACATGATTTTAAATTTTAAATTTTAATTGTGACATTTAAATTCTGAACCTAGATTAAGACTAATATTGTAACTGCATTAGCTTGTGCTAAATAAACGATACATATATAATTTTTTGATATTTTTTATGAGAAAAGCAGCATAGAAAGTGGAGTCTTATGCAAGCACATGTGGTAGATTTTGGAATTACGTATCCAACACTTTTTCATATTGGTAATTTTCATATTGAATTTGGATAATATATTCCTTAGTAGTGAAGAATAGAGAATTGAGACTTTCTATGTTTTCTACCACTTTTATTTGTAACTAACTTTACTGCAGTTTCGTCCTATAAGAATATTTTCAAACTTGTACATGTAAAAAGTAGATTTTTCAAACGATTGTAACTGTTGTAATAAAATTTTTCCAATATGTCCCTCAATGATCGAGATATTACCTTCAACATTGAATTTGGGACCCCGGTATGTTGAAATATAGTTATACTTGATGGTTTTCTGAAATTCGACCAATTAATAATAATGATGATACTTTATTTCTATAAAGACTATATAAAGTTGTAGAGGAAACTATCAACACAATAAAATGAAGATACTGAAAGTTAGTTATGAAAATTGAATAGGCGATAGTGAAAGAACAGACTTTATAATTTATGATTGAAAAATCTGCTAGTGTATAATAGCAATTTTCTTACAGATATGCCTTCAGTGTTTGTTTAAAATTATACAGTTGCGCTTTGAAGCCTTCACATATTCAGAAAGATTATTGTAAATTTTTAAACCAATGTTTTCTAGCCCACAATAAGCCACTTTTAATTTCGCAATTGGTACATGGAATTGGTTTTTGATTCTAGTATAGTGGTTGTGAATATTCTTTTCTCATGTAAATCAAATCAAATCAAATCAAATTTATTTATTCCATGTTAATATACAATTTGTTGTATGACATACATAATTAATAAATTTCAATTATCTTGAATGAGTAACTTTCACCTAGACATTGAAATGCCTGTATTGTGATCTGTTACTCACCAAGATATTTGTATTACATATGAAATTTGTTTGTCTCATCTCATATGTTGATCAATAACTGAATTCTTCAAAAAATTCCCGTAATATGTAAATAATTTGAGAGAATTGCCAAACAGAAGTGAACCTTACTAAAAAACACTGAATTTAAAATAATTCTAATAACAATTCTGAACTCAAATAACTTATAGACAACAAATACTCACTAATAAAAAAATCAAAATTTCTTTCTGTAACACATTTCCATTAGAAACCACAACTGAGTTTATGATTTGGTAGGTGAATGAAAATCATTTTTCATTTCTTATTCTATTTCATTTAGAAAATGTTGAAAAAAACTTCAATTTTTTACATTCTTTCTTGAAATGAGTTATCGAATAAAAAATTACCTTCATCGTGGTACTTCCAGTCGTGTCCAGCAGCATACTCTGCAAAGAAACATAGACACATTAATTTGATAACCGGCACATTGGGCATGATTAAAAATGAACTGACGCTTCTGAATATACTCCCACACAAATATAATTTGAATCGTCTTTATAACGAGCATCCAAGATTAAATAATTTCGATGACGTTTTTCTCTATCAGAAACACTCAATGACATATCTCCAATCAGTTCAAGTCAGATTTCTCATAAATATCCTCCACTTGATAGTTACACTGACAAGCTGTATCTCACAGCAAATAACTTCAAAATACTGTGTTGAGAATAATGAATTGAATATTCCCACCGTTCAAAACTTATTTTGAAGAACTGATAAGAACTGATTTTCATGGTATTTTTAGCAAAATTTGCCAATGCAAATGAGCCATGTTATCAGTTGAAGTTCAGTAATTAAAATAAACCGCTAATGAGGAAGAAATAATTGAAAAAATGACTGACTTTATGCTTCCAGGCATGTTGATAGTTCCACCAAACTGTTTATAAAATCAAGAGTACGTGAATAACATAAAGAGATAGACTCACATTTTTGTTTAAGTGAAGGAGAAGTATTTTCGAAAGACAATTGTCTAGCATAACTTAAACAGATTTTAAAATTTCAAATTAAAAAATTAATTGTTTCACTTCAAATTTTTTTCGAACTGTTTCAATAAAATTGAGGGATGTGATGAAATGTTATCTCCTCCAAAGGGTAATAAACACAAAGGATCGAATAATCTGTGGTATCATTTCGATGGCGAAACTATTTTTGTTGATAACCTCCATTCAAACTTCTATACAGGGTGTGACAAAGATATAGATATAGATATATTTATTCGTGTATACAATAAAAACATGTCTCATATTCTTTTGGCAATTATCCCACTAGCGCGCCTCTGGCTCAGTATTTATCCGTCGATAACAATGGACAAATCCCTTGAAACAGGGTGATACCTACCTGCTCTTTATGAAACGACATAATTTTGCAATGCGGACTAGGGAAGTGACAGAATTTATTGACGGATCACCCTGTAGCGCTTTTGAATACTTAATGAGATTTTATTACTCTACACTCTTTTGAAATAGACTATAACTGGTGAGTGAAAACGTCTAAAATGAAGATGGAATAGCTTCTAAATGAGACTAGGATCAACTAAAACGTTCTGGTTTATTCTGACAATCTTGACGTTACTAAATATTCAATATGACATATCAACAATAACAATTATACGGAATGATCCAATATTATAACAATAAAAAATGTAATACGATTCACAACAGGTACAGATTATTGAAATAGACTTTTATTGTTTGTTTAAGAAAAAAACTTTTGCAAGAAAATAAGTTATTTGCACGAAATTTAGTACCCGGGGTTTTTTTGACGTGGGAAATCATAGTCCCGAATTAATTTTCATGAAACATCTAGACATGACAGTACGCTGTCATTAGTTATTTCAAATTGCCCTAACTTTTTTGACAGTACCTAAACTTCTGGTACTTTTCATGAAAAAACTAATTTCCACACCTCTTCCAAGTAAAAAAGGTTGACTTCCTCAATAACGCTGGAGGTACAGTTTGCCAAGAATAGGAAAAAGAGTGAAATTTTTGCGGCCTGCACATAACGAAGAGCTAGAAAGCATTCGGAGGAACAAAGATGCACAAATTTGCGATTGAAGTTGTCTTCGCTTAGTGTAGAAGTACAGTCTCCTGAATAAACTGTGAAACCAACGTACAAAGTCCTCACTATTAGTCCATATCATTATTGAATTCAAAATAATTTTGGTTAAGTCAGGATATGAGGGCTATAAAGATAACTTGTTCAATTATGGGATTAGTATTCTTTTGAGTCAGAAAATTATGAATGATGATTATGCCATTAATCAGAGAAGTGTTTGTAATAAATAAATAAAACTTGCTCTCAATTTGGTTGCTTTCATTTTACTTTTAAATATGTACATTTTTTATACTAAAATCAAATGCAAAATACGGCGAAATTGTCTAAGAACGTAACAATTACAAATAAAACAGTACAAAGCAAAAAATTATAAAAGTCAAGAAGCAAAAATTTTAATAAAAAAATATTTTATCTTAATCTTCGGAAGATGAATCTTCGCTAAGGTCTGAACTGATGTAATATAGTTCAGTGTCACTATCTTCTTGCAAGTTGATTATCATGTCCATGAAATCTAATGTTGGTTTCTTCTCCATGAAAAACTGTTCAAAACTTTGAGCATGCTCACATCGTTTTTTCCACTCAGTTTCAGAAAACATACTAAAAAAATTCATCGCATAATCTTTCCACGGTCTTTAAGCAAAAATCTACATTTCTTTGCGCAATATATTGCTCTAAAGACAGTAACTCTTTAGGATTTGAGTCAGGGTGGTATGGAGGAAGCCTTAGATCGGAATGCCAGCGGGCGCTCATAATTTCATCAATTTCATTTATTTTATATCGCGGTTTACGAGTTTTAATTATACTGTACAAATCAATTTTTAACAAATCTTCTGTAAAAGGTATATTTCGTTACCTTTGCCATTCCATCATTTCGATCTTTCTATTACATAACGTAGGAGACTTATTTTCCTGTACATTATTAGGTATAGGGAGCTTGTCTATCACTAAGACACTCTTTGGTGGCAAATTAGGAGAAAGCATCTCCTGCAGCCATTTTCTATAATTCGTGAAGTTCATCTCGTTATGACAATCATCTGACTTATTTGATCTGAATTTCAAACAAGCATTTTTCACAAAACCATTTTCACTGCCCGCATTCACTATTATTAGTCTTTGCCCTTTTGATACTGGTTTATGTGAACCTTCACTAGTTTTGTCATTCCAGGTTTTCATGTGGGTATGCGAGGAATGAATATAGGTTCCGTCCATGAAAATTATGGGTCGCTTTTCTTCTCGAAATTTCTTCATACTTCGCAAAAAATTTGTTCTCAACTGAACGATATCTGGCTTTTCCATTAATAATTTTCGATTATTTTTCGTTTTCCTCCAACGGAATCCAATGTCATGCATAACTTTTCTCAAGCTTTCGGAGGAATAATCAGCATAGTTATTTTCGGATTTAAATTTATGATGTTTGCGCCGTGATGTAAGCTGCGGCTTTCTTTTTTTTATATTTGGTGTCAAAAAAGCAGCGGCTTCTCCAGTCTCTATCGATTTCATTTCCTTTGAATTTTTTTGTGTACTGCTTAAACTTACGCCAGTTGCCATAGCAGCTCTTTCTTGAACTCGTTTAAAGTCCTATATAGGTGTATTTTCTGCCGCTTCTTGTTGCTTAAAAAAATTACATTGGCTATAACTTCCCTCGTTTGACTTGCCAGCACTTTACGATTTATGTTTGATTTAAACTCCATCCTGATTAAGTTACAATACTCAAATTATTGTACCCTTCACGCTTTATTTCTGCTCGGAATGTACACTCGCTTAACCCGCGATGCTCAATTCACAACAGACAAATTCGACTATCTTCTGCGCTCAGCTAAGGTGGTTTCAAATTAAGATTTTGAAACTTTAGAAAAATGAATAAAGAAATTCAATTCCAACACCCTGTATCTCCGAAACGAATATCCGGACACATGTTTACATAGACTTTTTTCTCAAAATTCTCTCAGGAATATTTCAACGTACTTATTTTACACCCTGATTAATTGTGTCTATCAGAATGGATTCAAATTGATATCTTGAGAAAAAACAGAAATTACCTAAGAAATGATAACTTGAACGAACTTTGATCTTGTGTTTTATTTGAAAATAAACTGTGGTAGAAATTGTTTTTAGTCACCTTGTATAAACAATACCATAAGTCATGAAAAAATAAAATACAAGTCCACATGAAGTGAGTGGCTAAACTTGGAGAATGACTGTAAATCAAATTATCTAAAAGAACAATTCGTTCAGGCCAGTCTCAACTTACCTATACTGTAGGTTGATAGACTGACACCTATCAGAAAACAACTACTCCCCTGGCTATGTGTGTTCCAATAATTGAGAATCGATTCCGGCAGTTGTATCGCCAACAGCATATGCAGGGATAACTTCAGTGAAGAATCCTGCACTGACACCTGTCGGATATAATCCAACGCCCTTCGTGGCATTAGCCAGGGGGGTAGTTGTTTTCTGATTGGTGTCAGTCCATTAACCTACAGTGTAGGTGATTTCAGAGAGGCCTGAAGGAGTTGTCCTTTAAGATAATACGTTTTAAAATAAAAGTCATTTTGTTGGATTCGAATGACTATTCTAGGACGACACATACTTTTTTCCATGATAACGGCTACATCCATCAATTTATTGAAATATCAGATGTTTGGGGTATCAATACATTTCAGATACTCGGTAGTTTCTGAGTAATATTCAACGAAAGTCATTTTTGTGGAGATATACAAAGAAAGTGGGAATCGGTAGCTCCGTCACGCTGGAACCCACTTTGGAAAAAATCTACCTTTTTTTAACCTACTCTACCTACAAGCGATACTAATAAATGTAGTAATGTTCATTTTTTTGTAGTCTTATCGGTTACTGAGAAAGTACTATTGATATTATTGTAACTACGAAAGAAGAGTAATAATGTGCCAAAAAGTTCTGAAATAGGTTCTAAATGGATTGTAGATTATTGTAGTAACAACAAAATATTTCTATATTTTATATTGTTTTGAAGTATATCAAAAAAGCTACGATAACAAGACTTCAAATCATAAAATAACAATTGTCCTCAAGCTACAAACGATGGTGTTGATTGTAGCTGAAATTAGATGTTTGTAGTTACCATTAAACACATCAAAAATGAATGAAATAAATTCTAGTATTTTTCAAATAAACTAATATAACATAACCTATCCTAACCAACATATGTAACCTGAAATCTGAAGTAAAAACTAACGTATTTTAGAATGTTTTATCTGGAAAAAAGCATCTACCCTCAACATCTAACTTGACTTCCGAATTCAAAAACGAATTCATGTTGGATGTTCAGGATTAGGAATTATTTCCAACATACTAACATGAGTCTGTTTTTAAATTTTTGAAGTCAGGTTAGATGTTGAGGGTAGATGCTTTTTTCCAAATGAAGCATTCTAAAATACGTTAGTTTTTACTTCAGATTTCAGGTTACATATGTTGGTTAGTATAGGTTATGTTAGTTTAGTTGAAAAATACTTGATTCAATTTCAATAATTTTTGATAAATTTAATGATAACTACAAACATCTCATTTCAGCTACAATCAACTCCGTCGTTTGTAGTTTGAGAACAATTGTTATTTTATGTTTTAAGTCTTGTTATCGTAGTTTTTTTTTCCAAACTTCAA